ATTTTTGATCCACTGTTGGTTGAATTTGTGATGCGAAACCCAAGGATATGAAGGGTGGACTGCATTTGCCTCTGCTTGTTAAGAAGCATGTGCATGCACATACATGTGTGCACACACACAGATGAAGACTCACTGTACCAGGATGACACTATTTTTAATCTTCTTCTGAAGCTCAGGTCCAGATATCACCATTGCCAACAACACAGCTTTGTGTCCCAGCAAAGGAACTCTTCACACAACTTCTCAGGCTATCAGATTTTAACAAGCCCATTCATGTAGAAGCATCCTTTCTTGGTTCATACTCCAGAAGTACTTCCTTCCCCACCACCTCCCATCCCCCCACAGCAAAGGATTTAGTCTGGCTATCACTATAAAATGGCCTCTCTGAGGGGCCTCCCTCCCCTTAGCTGTTGGAGGCAAGAGAGTATTTGGAGCATTTCCGGCCCTTCTTGGCTGGCTGCCTGGGCCCTGCAGCCAACACACATCTGATTTGGGGCTCTCCGCAGAGAGGAGTCCTCCCAGGTCCTCGGCAAGGGGCATCTGTGCCTTGGCTAAGGACAGGCCTTAAAGTGCCAAGTGGACGGAAGGGCTCCTCGGGCCAGCAGGTGAGTCGGCAGGGGAACAAAGAGAGTGAGAGATGCCTAGACATCCCACATGCAGAAAAATCTGGAAACAACGGGGAGAGTACGCTCATTTCCACAGTGCCCAACCACTGACACTGTTCTCTTCAGCTAACAACGTAGGGCCTCACCTAGCTCAACACCAGCTCCCAAAGTTCCAAAAAGTAGCCGTGAATCTAACTGTATGGATTTTTTTTAAAAAGCAGTTTTAGCTACGCTGTATGGCTTATACCAACATGTACCAACTGGTGTCTTCCCTGCAGCTACCAACTGAGGCAGTCCTACCTAAGCTAACATCTCTTTTAGATCCTCTTCCCTGGGCCAGAGGGCTTCCTGCACATCTCTCTCTTCCTTCTAAGAAAGGACTTCCTTCAGTCCTGATACCTTAATGTCACCTGTGGGGGTGGGAGTTATAGGTCACACACTACCTTGCTTCCTGCCTTTCCCCTGTGCCCTTCAGCAATCTGATCTCTGATCTCAACTTTAGGGAACTTCTCTCTTTTTTTTTTTTGTCTTTTTCCGTGTCCGGCAACGGATCGCAACCCTCAGTGTTGCCCCCGTACCGGACCGGGGACCGGCAACGGGATCACAACCCTCGGTGTTGCCCCCGCGCCTCGCTCAGCCAGTGAGCGGGAACCGGTCTGTATGTGGGATCCGAACCCTCGGGTGGGAGCGCCACCGTGCTTCCCAAGCGGCACACTTATCCAGTGCGCCACCGGGCCGGCCCCGGGAACTTCTCTTAAGAAGGATGCAGTTTTGGGAGCAGGAGATTCTTGGCAATTTCTAAGGTGTGATCAAGATCATCTGTTGACTTCAGAATCAGACTCTAAAGGAGTTAGCACCAAAACACCCTCCTGGGCAGCTCCAACATACTTTAAACATGTGCAGGGCGGGAATGGGGTCCCCAGAAGCAGCAGCAGGTCCTGGGCCAGAGATGGAGGAGGCATTTTCTCACAGATATGTCAGTAGCACACACAACCCCCAAAGCCCCACTCCAGAAGGCTCTTGGGGGATGTCAGGAAGAGATATGATGGCCCATAGGACAGCAGGGACAAACCTGAGATGCCATCCAAGAAAACTCAAAGGGCTGGATCCTACCCACCCTACACAGTACTAGCTAGAGCAGAGGTCTCACTGTGGGGGCTGGAAACCACATTTGCCCACCCGAGCCCCCTCACTTCCTGAAGAGGTGCTGAGCAGGCCCCTGTGGGAGGCTGTGAGGCTAACAGAAACCTGCCTAGCAGGACACACCCTCTTGGTGACTGTTTTCAGCTCCTGCCTTTTGGAATGCTTGGATTTAGTTGAACATGTCTCTTTCCCCTTTAGCTATGTAACCCTGCTTTAGGTTGACACAAGCACGAGTGAGAAGGAGAAAGAGCAGCAAAAGCACAGGACAAAGCTAGGGAACCCTCAACCGTCTCTCTTCTCTGACCAGTGAACAATACACTGGTTACACAGGGTGCGACTTAAAATCCTGGCTCTGCCATGTATAAGGTGTGCATCCATGGGCCTCAGTTTCTCCATCTGTAAAATGGGAATACTACCTATATCTCAGCAGAGAATTACAAGGAGCTTAAGGAAGTGTCCTGGCCCTAATAGAAGCTTGGTAAGTGTCAGCTGCTGGTCATTAAGTACAAAATTTATGTCAAGTCTCAATCTCAAAATGTTCACACTAAAAGGGACCATAGAGATTTCTCTCTCTCAGGGCCAGGCAACACAACACAACACAACACAACACAACACAACACAACACAACACAACACAACACACACACACTCTCTCTCTCTCTCTCTCTCAGGTTAGCCAACCAGCCAACCAGTTCCTTCCTCCAGTGGCTGGCCTCTGCAGGACAGAAAGGAGTCTGCCAGGGAAATAGCCACCTCCAGTGACACTTACCTACCCTTCCTATACCTCTCAGCTTCACCCAGGACCAGCCAACCAGTATAGGTGAGTCCACCTGAGAGATCACTGAACTAGAAGTCAGGAAACTTGGCTCTTGCCCTGGATCAGCCTCTCAACAGCTCTGTGGTCGTGTCTAAGGCACAACTCTCTGGGGTTTAGTTTCTTCACAGGCCAATCAGCAAAGGTCTCCCCTGCATAGTCCCTTACAAGGTGACTTCAGATCACCTGAAGCTGAAGTCAAAGGCACTCTAAAAAGTGGAATGTCAATACAAACAAGAGGCAGTGTGGGTTATGGTTACAGTTTGACTCTGGAGTGTGAATCTGGCTGGCACTAGTCATGCACCCTTGGGAAGGTGCTTCAGCTCTTAGTGGAGGTTTTCCTATCTGTCAAGTAGGGACAATTCCTACCTCATGAGCTTGTTATGAGGATTAAGTGAGATACTAGATATAAAATGCTAGAATAATACCTTGCCTGTGGTAAGTGCTCTATAAATATTGGCTCTGACAATTACTGGATAGCAAGGATCATTACTTTGTCCATTCACTCAGAAAACTTTAGGACTCCCCTTGAGTAGCCACAGGATCTTCAACAAACAGCAAAACTGGACCCCTAAGGGGAATCTTCCTGCTCAAGGCTAAGCAGGCAGTTGGAGCCACTGCTGTGCTTACCTGGCTCTTCTCCGAGGACACCTGTCAGAATCACAGGGAGCAACTGGAACACACACATGCTTGGCCCACCTGCCCGTGCTGATTCAATAGGTCCCAGGTGGGGGATCTGTATTTTTAGTAAGTGTCACAGGAGATTCTGATGTGTGCACCTGGCTGAGAGCCAACATCTAAAGGTTGTCAGGGGTCTTTGATTAACCCTTCTGGCACTGGAAGGTGATTCGGCCAAAGTCCACTTGGCCCCCTTCCCCCTACATCTGACTGGCCCAGTGTCTCTGCAGGCCTTGAAGGGCTCATACTCAGGATCTGGTTTTCCTTTCTAGGGGAACTGTTCTATTCCATACATGAGTCTAAAGACCTGAGCCTGCTGTCTCTTCCCACTGGCCCCTGTTCCTGTGAAGGAGAGGCCCTACCTCATTCTGCTATGAAAACAGAATTGCTGGGATTCGCTGTCCTGGGAAGGCTTCTGCAGGCCTGTGTTATGCGATTTGAGCCTTCCCATCAGTCTGGGGTTAGCTTTCACTGGGGTTGGGGCCACCTTTGTTCCCTGACAACAGTGTGGGTGAGAAAGAGCAAATTCAACATGATGGAAAAACTATGTTAAGAGATAAAAGAAGGTATAGAATAAAAAGACAGTAAGAGCAAAGCCTGGTTTGTGGGGAGAGGGGGACTAAGAGTACCAGGGAGGGAAAGGAAATGTCGGATCCACTCAGAGATCAGGTTCAAGGCTAACTCCTAGGACAGCTGAGGAATAAAACAGGGCATACGTACCTCTTGCCCAAAGGGAGACTGTGGTGCCCACTGGAGCACCCATTCTGTAATTACAGATCCTGGAGCAGGTATACTGAGACCTGAAGGGCTGGGCACTTTGTGGACAAAGAAACTGTTCCAGTTGGTCTCTGGTTCAGAGAAGCTTCCAATTCTAAGAAGTCAGCTTCTTGACTTTGATTTCTACTAGTTCCTTCATGAGACTTTCATGTTAATGAACTCATCTGCAGCCCAGTTGGAAACTTTCCCTCCATCTCAGAAGAGGGAGGGAATCATGTCAGGGCCACACCCAATTCCATGTCCTCAAGACAAGTGAGTTAATTCCATGTTTCCCAGAGCTGGCCAGCCTGACAGGATGAAAAACAGTTTAATACCACTTTTGTGCTTTCTTAATGTTGTACTGAAAACCAAAGCAGCAAAGACATAGCTTATAAACATCTATTTCTCTTCAAAACCCGCTTCTTATTCTCATATTGTGTTAAAATTCCCTAAAAGAAATCTGAATCTCACTGAGTTCATTAACTCTCAAAGCAAATGCAAACAGCAAGAGAATGTAGCACACAGTGATCTTGTATTTGTTATATCCATTTTGGGGAAGGTGAGCAACTGCAAAGAAGGTTTAGACTTTAGAGATTCTTACAGGAGGCTCATGGCTCCCCGGCCTCCTTCCACCCCCAGATGCCCAGGCACCTGACAGAATGGCAAAAGCTCCAAGGCATGTGCAACTTATGTTAGTGCAGATAAAATCCCATCCCCAGTCACACTGGCAAAAGAAAGGGTCTGTGCAGCAAGGCTGTTTGCAAGCCTCAGACACTGATCCTTCTAGGAGGCCCAAAGCCCCCACATCACTGTTCCCTCTGACCTCTGGCCACCTGTCTTTAACAGTAAGACCCATACGACCATGTACTATTTACACTATATGTCCTTGGGGGAATGAAGGAGGCAGAGTGGTCTAGCTGCATAAAGAAGGACATCAACATTTCCTATCACCTTCTAACTAACAAGCATTATAGAAAGGTAGCTATCATTATTCCTATTTTACAGGAAAGTCTTTCAGAATATTAAAGAGATTTGTCAACTCTCATTGTGAAAAGAAAAAGCACAGAACTTGAACCCAGGCCTGAAACAACCAATTTTGCTCCTGGAACAATTCTACGAGGTAACAATGAACACTTTAACTGTCTCCCTCAACCTTGGTCTCACTTCACCCAATTCAAGAACCAGATTTCCAGGGGCCGGCCCGGTGGCGCACTGCTACAGTGCGCCGCTTGGGAGTGCGGTGGCGCTCCCGCTGAGGGTTCGGATCCCACATACGGACCGGTTCCCGCTCACTGGCTGAGCGAGGTGTGGGAGCAACACCGAGGGTTGCGATCCCGTTGCCGGTCCTGGTCCGGTACGGGCGTGACACTGAGGGTTGCGATCCGTTGCCGGACACGAAAAAAAGACAAAAAGAAAAAAAAAAGAACCAGATTTCCAAAAATGGTAATAAAAAACAATACCCCAAATTACCCAAAATCTAGCAGGAAGAAGGTTGAAGAGGAGGAGGAGAGAGGAGGAGAGAGAAGGTGTGTGTGTGTGTATGGGCACACATGCAATCCCATATATATTTACATGTTGTTTTTCTTTCTCATACTTAGTTATGAACACTTCTACTAATTAATTCTCCATAGAAAGGTTGGTAGCATCAACTTACCTTGGCTAGAAATGTGACTTCTGTAATATTTACCATTTTAACTATATCCATTATAAGGGATTTGGAAAGTCCCACAGAGATGATGAGACAGGACCCCTGCCACCCAGTTTCTTTAAGATCTCTTTAGTTGAGAAAAGAGAAGATAGGACCACCACCTCTGCCATCCCTTGAAGGATCTTTCACAACAATTCCAAAGTCCTCCTCAGCTGAAACCTCTGCAAGTCAACTACAGACCCCCAGCCCCAGATTTACAAACTCTGTTACTGAGTTAGCAGCACTGCCCTGGGGTTCTTGGGATAGAAGGAAACACAGGCCCAACCACCGTGCCAAGATGGGGGAAAAACTCCAAAGGAGACACAGAAGCAAGCCTCAGCAGCCATTGTGAGAGCACAGAGGCCAAGACCGAAGCTAGGCAAGGAGAGGTGAGAGAAATCAGAGGGGCAGGAGGAGAGGAGCCACCTGTAAACACCCTGGATCCTGCAGGCTCTGCCAAGGAGCATTCCACCTTCCCCACTCCAACACACAGCAGGCTACAGAAGAAAGCTCCAGCAAGATTCATTTCTAAGCTTTTCAAGTTAAGTACTTAGCTACATCTACAGTGAAAGGTGTTTGAACTTTTTTTTTTGAGAGAATTTCTCCCTTATGCTATGTGGAGAAACAAAGAACTTAGAAAAACCAGCCACTATCCTAATTTTTAGGGATGGTTAAAATCTCTCAGAAGAATCCTTGCAATTAGCTATCAGAACCTGCCCAGTTCCACATGTGAGAAGATGAATCCAAGGCATAATTGTCCCTTCCCTCAGAGGAAGGGGCATCAGTCTCACGAACAAAAAATCTGACTTGCCCGAAAGGCCTAAGGGTCACTGAGAGCTGGGGAAAAGGCTGCCTCCACCCTCTCATTTCACATTAGGAGGTTACAGGGTAGGTTCTGTTTCTTTGGCTTTTCTCCACCTAACCCCAAAGCCATGGCACAACCTCCCAGCAATGGGGTGATACCCTCCTATGGACCTGCAATAAATGGCCATTCTTGCCACAATGATATTAACTTTTCTTTTTTTATTTTTGATGTTATACACAATCCTGTCCTTGCTGTTACCAGGAAGCCATTTCACCCATCTGTCTCGGAAGATGATCCAATTTTGGTGCTTTTACCATCAGTGCTTTCAGCAACTTTGTTCTACTTCCCCTACTGTAATTACTTTTGAATCATCAACACACCCAGACAGACTTAAAGCTCTGAGAACAGAATGCTAAAAAAGAAAAAAAAAACAAAACAAAAAAACAAAACTCTGCAATGGCAAAACAACTTCATTAAAAAGCCACCCAAGCTAGGAGCAATTTGTTTCTTTCCAGAAATTTACTTACTAAACTGCCTCACATTCTTTCCCCTTTTTCCAAGTAGACAAGGCATGGAGATGGGACATTGAAGCAGGGATGGGAAAGGGAAGGAACGCCAAAAGGAGCTAATTAAAACATCTGCTCTCCTCCCTCCACCCCCCAATTTTTGTTTTAAGTTGCAGGTTTTGTTTATAAATGATGTGGGACTTAGAAAGTTGGCTTGGTAGTTGCTGAGTGCTCAGGCAGCCCAGGAAGAGAGTATGCCTCCCCTGGAATGCAGTCAAATTACACTGGTAGGGAGAGAGCTAGTGGCTGATGGCTTGAGAATTCAGATTCCTCGAAGGAGAAGTTTGAAGGACAAACCACACACAAAGAATATGAAAAATATAATTCCAAGAAAATCCAACCAACACCAGCAACTTAACACTATCAAAAGGACAGCTGCCCTGTTTTCTGCTTTTATCTATTCTGTTGCCTGCCATCCATCCTGGTGGATGAAACTTCCAGCCCTTATTTACAAGATGCTGCTTCACAGTCCAGCTTTCCCTCACTCCTGGTGTGGCCCCACCATCCCCAAGGCACCCTCCTGAGCCCCTGCATGAGAGGAGGACCTAGTGGGGAAGCACAGGGTTGTTCTTCCCAGCTTCTCATCACCACTGCCTCCTCTTGAATCTCTCTACATCCAGATTTCTTCACCTCTGGCTAGCTCTTAGGGTCCTTTCCTGGGATGAGGTTGGGAAAAGAGTGGGAAGAGTCAGGAGTGAGTTATACGCACAGGCAGCCTCCCTTTTTCAGCCCTCGGCACAGCTGAGTAGCCAGCAGAGGCGGTGAAGTTGCTGCTTGGGTCACAGAGGCGGGTCAGTGATGCAGCCAGGGAAGCAGGGATCTCGGCAACACCGAGGTCAGGGAGGTAGAGCCTTCTGGGAGGGGAGCTGAGTGGGCAAGTCTCCATCCCTCCTCAGGGCAGGCTTATTTAAAGAAGGGCCAGTGATGCAAGAAGTATGCACTGCACTCCCTCCCCCTTCCTCTAGGGGTATTTGGGAAAGGTTGACACCACCAACCCAGCTGCTTTTGTCCCTAGGCAAGTTTGAGAAGTTCTTTGGGAACGTGAACCCCAGGAATAAGTGACTCGCTGACTAATGTTGCCAAACAGGTGGAGGTGGGGCTGCCCATTAGGCTCTAGGCCCCAGTACATTCAACTGCAGCAAGCACTGCTCTTCACGCCCTGTTGGGGGAGGGAGGACGCGGCGCAAGAACGCTTTGGATTTGGTCCCAAGAGCGTGCTCTCTCCCCAGCCTCAGGGCCAGGTGGCCCCTGTCCGGGGAGTTCTCCAGAAAAAAAGCGACACTAGTCCTTACTCCCCTTGGAAATTCTGCCCGCTATTTTGGACACATTTCTCAAGGCCAGAGGAAGAACGTGGGGGAGGGGGAAAGAGTTTGGGGGCCCCCACTGTGACCGAACTGGGACTGATTCCATCCTCGGGGCCCAACCGTTCCCCTGCCCCCGGGAAAGGCCTCGGCCTCACCCTGCTCCCGTCCCCAAGCCCACCCCAAAAAGGGCCCACGACCCGCTTCGTGTCTCCACCTGATCCCCAAGAAGGCGGGGGCCGCGAGCCGCTGCCTACAGAGAACTCGCACTTTTTCGCTGCGCGATTCAGAACCACGCCGGGTCTGATGCCATCCGGCGAATTATGTAACCAGGGACACCGCTCCCTGGCTAAAACAAACGCGGCTCTGTGTGTGCAGCGGCGGCCCCGGGGGAGAGCACCGGGGCAGGGAGGGGCTCTAACCGGGCCTTGGGGTCGGGCTTGTTTGCTCAACGAAACCAGCGGGAGGCAACCCGGCGAGAGCCCGGCGCCGCCGAGGTCCTTGGCCCAGCGATAAGCCGCGGACCCACCAAATCGGGTCCGTCTGGGCCCAGGCCCCTCCCCCACCGCGGCCGCCCCCGCCTCCAGGCGGTGAACTTGGTCCCAAGTCCCGCCAGACGCCTTCACCACCCGCTGCCGGAGTGACCTCGGGCTCAGGGGGCCTGGGAAATGCTGGACTCCAGTCCCAGTTCCGTTCCATCTCGGGGCCCCCCCCACCCCGTTCTCTTCCCCTACCCTCCCGGCCGTCTTGGGGCAGCCGCGCTCTGCGGTGCAGGAAAGTGGCGACCCCACCCCCGAACTCAGGAGGGGGCGGCCGCGAGTGGGCTCGTTTCGAGCACGATCCCTGTCTCTCTGTCCCGGGGGGAGGGGCTGCAGGACAGGGTGACAGCTGCACCGAAGACGCCCCTCCCCCTCGAGCGCCCGGAATCCCGGCTCCGCGCAGCCCCCACAGGGGTCTGAGTACCGACCGGGACGCGGGGGAGGATGGACCCAGGGGTCCGGTTGGAAACGCCTGCTGTAAGCCCCGAGAGGTCAGGGGTCGAGACCTGGTTTCCGGGCTGTGCTAACCCCCTCCCTGCCCGGGGGCAACGCAAAGTTTTGGGAAGTTGCTTCCCCTACCTTGCTTGGTGAGCACCAGGGCGTCTTCCCTCCGCGCCTGGGTGATGATGGAGCCGTGTTCCATCTAACAATCCCGCGGGCCCGGGCTGGCTGGGCGGGAGGACTGGCGGGCGCGCGGGCTGGGCTGGGGGGCCTGGGCGGGGGCCCGCTCTGGTTCCGAGACTCCGACTCCCACAGCTGTTCACATCCCCCCTCTCGTTTCCTCCCCAGACCGGGAAGGGAGGCGGCCTGTACGGAGGGCGGGCGGCCCGGGCAGCGGCTCCCCCGGGCGCCCCCGGCCCCGATCCGAGACTCCGACTCCCACAGCTGTTCACATCCCCCCTCTCGTTTCCTCCCCAGACCGGGAAGGGAGGCGGCCTGTACGGAGGGCGGGCGGCCCGGGCAGCGGCTCCCCCGGGTGCCCCCGGCCCCGATCCCCCGGCGGCAGCTCCGGGCTCCTCAGTTTGGGTCCAACATGGAGAATCCGGAGCGAAAACAAGAGGAGGAAATGGGACACGGGGCGGTTTCCAGGCTCCCCCCTCCCCTCCGTACTCCAGATAAACAACCCGCGGCTGCAGCGCCCACCCCCGCGCGCCTATCGGCTCTTGACCCGGTCTCTCCACGGCCCGCTGGCGCTTCCTGCTCCGGGGCAGCCTCCTAGGCTCCGGGTCCCTTCACCTGTGAGCGGCCGGGGCTGCGGACCGTCCCGAGCTTTGCTATTTTGTTACGGAAAAAGCGAATCCCCAAGGGGGGTGGGGTGGCGGGCGGGCGGGCTGGCGGGGGAGACTTGAAACCGCTCCGGCGCTCCGATTGGCCCTCTCGGAAAAAAGAGGCGTGACCCCTCCTTACTATGCGGTGCGAGGACCCAACAACATTCCAGTCGCTGCGGCCACGCCCCCGGGCCACTCCCCCCAGACAGACTGCGGCCTCCCAGTCTCCTCGGCCACACCCCCTTCCCAACTACTTAAAAGGGCACTCCAAAGCTCACGTTTCCCTGCTCAGTGCTGGGTAGTCCCTGTGTTGGTGACTGTGGTTGGGAAAGGCGGAAGGGTTCGGTTCTTCGGGTAACCAGGGCAATCCTCGAAGCCTAACCCGTGTCGGACCCGGGGATGGGGGGGTGGGGCGGGGTTCGGGGCAGTTACCTTACTTCCTGCTTAGCCCTTGAATCAAAGACCCACCAGTTCACATAAGGGTACAACCATCGAATACCGAAAGGGGGGTTTGTGTGGGTGGACCTAGGACTCCAGAGTGTCAGAGCTGGAACCGACCTCGGGACTGTGTGACCCCCAACACTTCAAAGGAGACCTGAGGTGCAGGGCTTTGCTCAAAGCCACTCACTTATTCCCATTCAGGCTCTTCACCCCGCTTCTGCCAACCTAGTCCTGCTCCCCCTCTCGACCTCCCCGTTAGTCTCAGTCTCGGTTTAGATGGATAGAGGTCTCTAAGTGAAAAGCTTCGGCTCTGTGCTTCCCTCAGAGCACCGTCCGCAGGCTACGGCTCCTGGACTTTAAACTCTCATGAGTCCCCTGCTCAAGGTTGTAGGTGACAGACTTACATTTGTTCCCAAGTGATGGTAGCCCCAGAAAGGCAGGTTTCAGCTCAGTATCAGGTCTTTTCCAGGGATCTACATCTGTCCACAGGTGACATGGGCTGCCTTGGAATGAAGGGGGCTATTAAGTCAATGTTGGAAAGAGTAGTGTAGAGTGAGACTGCACTGGGTGACTTCTGAGCGAATTCCAACCCTCACTCTGCAAAGGAGGGGGCTTCCAAAAGGTCAGGCTTCTCTGGTCCCTGGGGGGCTGGTGGCCTTCCTGCTGCAGTTGACATTGCCCAACATGCATCAGGTCTTACTGGTGGGAAGACAAGTAGGCCACCACTTAATTCACCAGGTACTATCAACCACCTACTCTCTATATGGTTTCTTCATGAGGACAGGTGAGGTCCTGATATGCATATGCCTGTGTGCCTTAATAGTGCTCATTGCGTGCCTGTTCCTACTGTTCCTAGACACATACACAAAACCTTTTTATGTAACAACATTTTAGTGGAAATGCTGTTTTTCCAAAATGAAAGTTGCTGTTACAGATCTGAATGATGCTTATGTAACTTTAAACACTGAATTTGGGTAGATGCTAATTCATTAACAGAAGGGGAAATGGAGTCTTCACATATTTACCTCCCATCACTAAAACAATGGGATCCTTAAGATAAATCTTCAATAGTCAGGTTGATAGGAGGCCTTTTTGGACCTTGACGTAGCCCTCCTATAAGGGAGTTCAATTGCAATGGGAGCAGTGCAGGCAGGAGCCGAGGACTGAGGATTGAGGGGGACCTACTACCTGCAGCACTGTAGTGTTGTGTGGGACACTTCACCTCTCCATACTTTCATTTCAACTATAGAGACAATTCCTCCCCTTTTATAGTTTACAAGTACTTTTATATACATTATCTGTCTCATTTGATCTCTAACTTCTTTGAGGTTGACAGAGCAGATATTATGTCCATTTTTGTAGATGCCCGTTTTGTAGATGAGGAATCAAGGTCTGGAAAGGTTAATTGACTCACCTGAGGTCTTGCAGCTTGTTAGAAGAGGAGGCAGGACTAGATGTCTTTAGACTTTAAGACTAGAACTCTTGACACTTTATCAGAGTTCCCTTCCTATCTATAGAATGGAGGAGATACTAGAACCTAGTCACTGTCTTTTCTTGCTAAGAACTTGGACTACATCACCTCCTCTGGGAAGCCCTTCCAGATGCCCACTCTCATGTCAGGATTTTATAGCTTTCTACATACTCTCTCAGAGCACTTGGCACCTTGTTTTGCAACTATTTGCTTTGTTGGTTTCCCAAACAGAAGATGGATTGAGTCTAAGGGCTGTCTTATTCATTAGGTCTCTTATGCTTGACACAGAACAGGTGGCATAAAGCATTTGCTGTGTGTATCTTGACTTTATGTCTTAATCAGTGTTCTTTTGTCTAGAGGTTCAGTGATCCACAGTAAAAAATATATTCTATATTGTGCGATAACTGAAACAAAAGTTTCATGGGACAATACTTATCCTTGCTATGTGCATGCACTCTGATATTTTCTATTGTATGTATTGTATTCTTTTTCATTTTTTTAAGGTGCTGGCTGTGACCCTCTAAATTAATTTTATGATGCACCACTGGGTTGTGAGCCAGCCAGTATTAGAACAACACTACTTTTACTTCTCTGTGCTGTGGATGCCTTCTGTGTATAGGGTGCTGGCTGTCCCTGAAAGATGCAGAGGAGATGGTTCTCAAGCACTTCTTGCTCTGAGGTCAAAGAAAGGTTTATACATAACAGACAGAAACCTTTCCAAAGCCATAGGCACATGGATGTGAAAAGAACCCGGCAAGGAGGGATGAATGAGGAAGGAAGCATGGATGAGAGAAGGTCCCAGAGAGGCCTGGTAAGGACTGTTGTGCGTTCAGAGCCTAAAAAGGCAACAGCAGCTTTACTGGAGACTGGAACCCCAAAACACAGACAGGCAGGGCTCAGACTCTTGATGTCATGGGCTATCTCACTGCTCTGCCTCCAGATTACTGGGTACAGGTCTCCACTCCAGAAAGCTCTGTAGGGTCATGTCTTTCCTATAGTTAAGGTGGTGATGGAGGTGGGAGGCAAGTGGACATTCTAACTTCTGCCTAAAACAGCCTCTTAAATAACTTCCTGCCTACAGGCCCTGGGCCAGTTCCTGGCTATGCGACTTTAGGTAGTCCATTTAAGTAGGTTCAAGGGTGATAATTGAAGCCAGGGCTCTCGAGGCCTGAAAACTCAACCAAGAGAAAGCCCACTGACTCTCTCCTGGTCACCTACGTGCTCCATCCCTTTCCCCCTGGGCTTTCTTACTGGAAGGTTGGTGAGAGGCAATTTGGAAACAGCAGCACTGCCCCACTCCCCCAAGTGTTAGAAAAGGGGGATAGGTGGGTGGGCTCACATGGAGTGGCTGTCTTTGTTGGTCTCCCACAGCTATTGAAGTAGGACTGAATGTTCCTGAACCAAGGCTGGGAAAGGGAAAAAGAGCTGGAGGAGCTTCCTCTATGGGAGATGCATTCTTGCTCCAGGACCCTGCCCTTTTCCCACAGAAAGTAAGAACAGGGTTGGGCTATGGGAAACCTTTCTTGATTCTCTCTGATATCACCCAAATGTTACATTTTTTTTTATTATTATTGCAAGCGGAACACATCTACTTTCTTGATTTCTCCGATTGTTCCTGCATTCTCAGTTCCCTTTTGTATTGTAACCGGGAAAGCGGGGTCTCAGCACCAGGGTTCCAGAGCCCTGTGCCTTCCTGTTACGAGGCTTCTGCAGTGTGGTCCTGTCCTGGCTTTCCAGGGCAGGGTCCTGAGGCTGAGGTAGGATGAGGTGAGGAGGGGAGACCCAGTACGGTGACTGAATAGCTGTGGGGGTGCCAGGTGCTGAAGGCCAGGGAGGGATCATGGAGCTAGTAGTAGGGAGCATAGCTTCTCAGAGCAACAGAAACTTCAGCAGCATTTTGGCTTTTGGGCGATGCATTCTGCAAGGTGTAGACAGGCATGCTCATCATACTAATCCTACAACTTAGCTACTGTACCTCTTAGTTTTCTTATACTCAAATGAAGATAACAATAGTACCTACTTCATAGGTTATTATGAGGATTAAATGAGATATGTGAAGTGTTTAGTGCCTGAAACACTGCAAGTGCTCAGTAGATACTACTGTCATCATCATCATTAACCTTTCCTCCAAACCTGTTCATTCTGCATCCATCATCTGCCTGGTTCCCCAGCCAAAAACCTGAAGTCACCCAAGTCTCTTCCTTCCCACTCACACTTTCTCCCAATCAGTCCTGAGGACCGGTGGCTCCTCCCTTCCAAGTATGTCAGACCCTTTCCTTTCCATCCCACTGCTGCTATCTCATGGGAGGCTGGCAACAAGCTCCTCATCAACCTCTCTCCCAATCAGTCCTGAGGACCGGTGGCTCCTCCCTTCCAAGTATGTCAGACCTTTTCCTTTCCATCCCACTGCTGCTATCTCATGGGAGGCTGGCAACAAGCTCCTCATCAACCTTTTTCATTGTCTAGGTCCCAAATCCAGATCCATACCCCAACCCTCCTAGAAAATGCAAATCTGGCTCTGTCTTGTCCTGATCCTACCTATATAAAATGATTCAGCAGTTCCCCAAGACATTCAGGATGAAGCTCAGATGCCTACCTGGGCACACATGGTTCCTAGGATCTGGCTCCTGTCAGCTTACCTACCCCATCTCCTGCACTTTCCCCACCCTCACCTGTCAGGAGGAACTAGGGACCTGGGATTCTGTTATTGATATCATGTGCCTTCACACTTTTGCATAAGCAGTTCTCTTTGCCAGGATGCCATTCCCCCTGCTCTGTGTGGTAACTCCTCAGCCTTTAGATACAATTCAAGTGCCATCTCTTCCTCAAATTCTCCCAGGTCCCATCTTCTCCAAGTTCCTGTACTTTCTGGTTTACTTGACTGTTTCCCTGCTGCCAGGCAAGCTCCTTCAGGGCAGGGGCTGTCCTTTTATTGGCATACTCCTAATGCCTCTCATGGAGCCTGGCACATGGTGATCTGTTGGAAGTCAGTCCCAGCGGGCTCCTTCCTCTCTGGGCACTGCTGATCTCCCTGGGGCACTGAGCCAATGAGACTGGGAGGCAGGATGCCAGCCTCCTAAGCACTTTCTCCACCACCCAGG